AATTCCCCTGCTCAGTCTTCCAAACATTGGGATTACAGGTATCCACGACCATGTTCACTACTGTTTTAAATTTTATTTTATGATAATTTTTCAGTTCTTTTCTTTTATGTGCATGCGGTCAATCCTTATGAAAGGAAAAAGTCCTAACCGATAGCTAACCAAATAAATGCCCACCTCTCTCCCTGTAAGTGAAGAGCCACAACGCCCTCATGAGCAAGGTGCAGGATTTATCAAGGCCAGCATCCTGAGTCTTCCCTAAGGGAAGTCACGGTGTTATGACAGGCATCATCTAATTTTAAACTTGCGAATGTGACTGGACTCTGCACTTGTAAAGGGGTCCTACTCCTCTTACATTATCTGTTTCCATCATGGATGCTCCCATAAGCCAACTGGGAAAGACAGGCCTAGAGATGTAACAGTATTTCCTCCCAGAAAGAAAAACTCATCCAAGCAATGATGCTATTGATCCATACAGTTTTGCTCCTGAAGACTAGTAATGCTTTTCTTCTGTAGGAAGAATCTTTGGCCAGCAGAACATTCTAGGATAAAGATCCAGTCATTTACCCCTGTACCTCCTGTGTGTGGTACATATATGTGTTCATGTGGAGGTGCATGCACACACAAGTGGAGGCCAGAAGTTGCCCTCAAGTGTTTTTCTTTCTATCGATCTCCACTGTAGTCTTTAAGATGGGGTCTCTCACTGAACAGAAGCTCACTGATGGCTAGACTAGCTGACTAGCAAGCCCTGGGGATCTCTTGTCTCAGACTCCCACTGCTGGGGTTAAGGTGATTACTAGTACACCCAGCTTTTTACATGTATGCTGGGTATCTGAACTCAGATCCTCCTGCCTATCCAGTCACCTCCACAGTCCCCTAACATTGCACTCTGAAAGTCCATTACAGCAGCAGGACAAGAGTGACCTTGGTGGCAAAACCCGACAAACACTGGCCTAGCCAAGACATCAAGGTCAATACCAACAGTGGTTAAGTCATGTTGCAAATGCCTTCCTTGATAAGCTGTCACAATAATGGCCTTTCATAAGCTCTGTGGCCTCTCTTCCAATAACCCTTAGGTTCTCCAGTCTAATCATAAAAAAGAAAACAGTCAGTAGAAAGCATCCTACAGAATACCTGGTTAGTGACCCTCAAAGCAGTCAAGGCCATCAAAAGCAAGGGCAGTCCAAGTGACTCACAGCCATCAGAGCCTAAGGAGGCACGATGATTAAATGCAATGTGGAGCCCTGGATAGGAACAGAAAAGAGACATCAGGTTAAAACCATGGGACCCTGAATATAAGCTTTGAGGCATGGGTATCTATTTGAGGGAAGACAAATGTGTCACTTACTTAAGATCTTAATAATCAAGAAAACCACACATATGTGGGAATGGGGTCATATGTAAACTCTATGTTATAGGCTCAAATTTTCTGTAAGCTTGAGATTATTTTTAAAAATTGGCCTATTACAAATAGAGTGAATGCTAGAATTCATCACTGGCCTTCAATTGTTGTGAGGATTTCCTAAAGCCAGAGACCAAAGTGCATTCTAGAAATGACTTTAGAAATGATATAGGAACGTGACTTTAAAGACTTCTAAGCTCGGGGGTTAAATATTCTCTTGCTGATCACTTTTATTTTTTCTGCTTTAGGAACAGAAACAATTCTGGTTTTATCTCTTGGAACTCTTGTTGGATCTTCGTCAGTTTCCCTTTCTAACATAGAAAGAGAATGTCTCTGGTTCAGAATTCTCTCTCTCTCTCTCTCTCTCTCTCTCTCTCTCTCTCTTTTGGTGTGTGTGTGTGTGTGTGTGTGTGTGTGTGTGTGTGTGTGTGTGTGTGTAACCCACAGACTTATTTTGTGTGTTTTTCTGTGTGTAAGCCACAGACTAATGTTGAATGTTTTTCTCTATTATTCTTCAAGTTATGTTTGAAGACAGTATCTCTCACCGAACCTGTATATCATCAATTAGCTAGGCCGGCGGACCAATAAATTCCAGTGATCCACCTGGTTCTGCCCCCACCCCAATGCTAGGATTACGAACATGCACCGCTAAGCCTAACTCTTATGTGGGTGCTAGATATCTGAACTCAGATTCTCATACTCAAATGGCAGACACTTTAACACGTAAGTCATCTCCTTAACCTGTCATGATTTTTTTAACTCTTAATGTTTGATGATGTCTATTTGTGTATAACGAATGATTCCATTTTATCATTTATGACATTTCTGTTTTAAAATAAACATATTGAAGTAAAAAAGTGAGCCTATGTAATTTAAAGTGAGTTACTTTACCAATATTACTTTGTTTTTGGATACAGCGAACATCAAGGGAGTGGCATTCAAATGACTTGATGCCAAAGACTGGTGCCCAGTAGAACTATGACCACACCCTTTAGCTTAGCACTCATAGCCTTCTCCTACCTGAGGTCCCCTAGTCCCATCTGTTGTCATGAGATGCCCTGTTCCAGGCATGACCAAGGATGCCTGGTTAGGAGGTTGTCAGTGCCCAGGGACTGACGGCTTAGAAGAAATCGATGCAAGAAGTCCATTGACACAATTCAAAATGCTCTAAAATCCAAAAGAGTTTGAATGGTGAAATTACACAAATGGAAAATTCCATAGCTGATCTCATGCAGATGAAACATAATTAAGTTGTATGTTCAGACTGGATCCCATTCCCATGACATCTCATTACATATATACAAATATTGCAAAATCTGAAAAAAGCTCCAAACTCTGAAACCCTTCTGCTCCCAAGCATTCTGGATAAGGAATAGTAGTCAACTCTTACTGACCTTCATCTAGTTCTCTCTTTATGTGGCTTGATTTCCTCTAGGATCCACAGCCAATTAACTGCAGCAGCCAGAGACAGACTAACTCACCCCTTTGGGCCCTGTCAGATGCACCATGGAAGTGCTTTTGTGTGGGTACAAGTGGGATCTGAATCCCAGCCCTCGCTCCTGTGCCTCATCACACCTGGGGCTCAAAGTATCTTCTAAGCAGGGGCTCTTATTAGCACTGGGTTCAAAGCCTGGGGATCCCGTAGCGAGGCACCTCGGGTCTCTGCGCTTTTTACTTGTCTACAAGGTGGGATCACAGCAGCACCTGCTTCGAGGGATCACTGAATTCACAAAGCATTTAGTACAATATGGCAACAAATAAGGGCTCTTCATGTACATACTGCATCTGGTCATCTCTGTGCCTCTACTTGCCACTTGTGTTAACTGTGGATCATAACAGTACTTATCTCATAGGGCTGTTGTCGGGGGCGGGGGGAAGAGAATCAGTGCTCCAAAGCCCTGGGTTTCACAGCTTTCTCCTAACAAATACTCAATAATGTTCCATTCTTCACTACACCATCCGTGTTTACTTATTATCAGTATAGCTGCTATTCTGGGTCAAGAATTAGACTCTTAGTCTTCTGTAATAGCAGTTCACAGATACTTGAAGCAATCACTGGAGACAAGGGCCCAAACCACAGGTATGCCCAAGTCTAGTCTGTGAGCCCCCAGCTGGAGATTCAGAGTAGCCTGCAGTCTGCATCTAGCAGCATGTGGCTGCTCCCTGTCTCACTGAGGGGACGGATTTGTGGGCCAAGAAGAAGGGGTTCCATCTGGCCAGCTGGGTTTACATAACCGGCCCTGAATGCAAGCCGACTGCTTCAGGAAGTCTATGAGGTAAGAAATTCTTGCCTAACAAAAGTTCTCTTTCTACCAAAAGGCCACAGAAGGAAAAGGACAAGCAATTCCCCCAAATGTACCTGACTCTGAGGGAAGTTAAACCCATAAACCCATAAAGTACAGAGGTCAAATGATATTTCCGTGTTTTCAAGGACCAAATAAAAAGAGACTCTGGTCCCTTTTTCTCCTTCCCAGACAGCCTCCAGGGATACATAGTCCTGTTTCCTGGGCTCTGGGAAAAATCTTGAATGGCCATGAGCTTACCACATCTGTCTGGAGCAGTCATGCCCGACTGTGCCTCAGTTTCCCCATCTGATAAAGGGAGGATGTTGGATTGTATGACATTTAACACTGGTTCTAGCAATCACTCACTGATTTTAGTCTTGATAAGAGCTGGAATTTCAATTGCGCTAATGTACTTCAAACTTTAAAAGATCCAGGAGCTGGTTCTGCAGCCTCAAAACTCAAAACGAGCACCTTGCAAGAGGTTGTCACTGTGAGGGGTCATTGTCTGCAGTCCAGGCAGGCTGCAAAGGCCAGAGAGTCCGTGCATGAGCAACTGTGCGTGCACATGACTGGGGGTACCGCCACCTTCACTTTTCCTGCCCAGTTCTCTGGTCCTTCTTTTGTAGAATATAATCTACGTTTTCCCATTGTAAAATCCCTTTTCCTCCAGAGGAAACGAGGCAGGCATTCTGGACACTTCCTCCTCCAGAGGCAATGAGGTTGTCAATCACACAGGCTGACACTCCTGGTTCCTCAAAACAGAAAGGCATGTGGTCCAAAAAGAAATGAAAAATGTCCCTTTAGGGGACATCTGTGGATGCGGGGAAGGAAAGGATAGAAGGCGCCATCTTTGCCACCAAGGGAAGCGTTTAGTAGAGACTAAATCCAGCACAATGGGGACAGCGGAGGAAGAGCAAGGTGGGGGTATGAAGAAAGGGGGTATGGCAGCAAAATGTGGGAGGAAGAGAGAGGGAGAGGTGAGGGGAAACAGAAGAAGGAAGGGCGACGCTGCCTAACTTCCTGATTTGAATCTGTTCATCTAACCGTCTATGAGGAAGAGTTCTGTTTTAGTCTTTCTAGTCAAGGGAGATGACAACTTCTCTTCCTTCGGTCTTGATTCTCTCCCATCCTCTCTAAGGACCTCCTTCCATCTTTCACATCCTGTGTCTCTCTCCCCTCCCTCCCTCCCTCTGTTCCTTCCTTCCTTCCCTTCATCCTTCTCTCTTTCCTCCATAAGTTTCTTCAAATGGTGATCTATGGTCCCCAAAGCATTAAAGACTGCCGCAGTTAGAGTCCTTATGAAAGATGAAATGAACTCACTTCAGAAAGAAACAAGGTTTATTTGATGAATATAAATAAGACAGCACAAAGTACTTCTCATACACATGATAACAAAGTTTTGAACTGTACATACCTTGTACATTGTAATTCTACTGAACACGAGGTTACAGGACTGGCTAGTACATGCCCACTGGTAGTTTCGAGGGTTCCTTAATTTTATGTATTTATTTTTTTCGTATCAATGTCCATAATCACATGGTCAATATCACAACCTACATGCCACTCACTTGAAGAAATATTACAAGAAGCTCTATCAAACAGGGGTCTCAGGGAACTGGATACACAGAGCCCTGGCAGCATTCAAACACCACTCTACACAAAAACACTGAAGGTACAATTTATGTCAACACATTTGAGGTCTCATCATAAACACTGTTTAAAAGGTAAAACCCACTTTCAAATGGAAGTTGACACGCTGTGAACGTGCATACCGAATACACAAAAAATCATTCAATACAAAATTGAGACTGTACATAGAAATCAAATGGGGTATAAATGCAAGCCTGCTTTTGCACAAAGTAAGACTTAGACCAACTTCTCCGAAATGTCAGCCCAAACTTTATTTTTTTCAACTACACTATGATTAGAAGGGAACTTGCTAAAGTTTGCGCAAAGGAAATATCTTCCAAACATCACAGTGTTTGTTGTAAACCAGAGACTATTTTCAATGTGTGGAAAGGGATTTCTTTTCGGTAATCCCCAAACATCAGAGAATATTATGTGAAATGGAAAAAGATGCTGTATTAGATAGAATTCAGTTTTCAGGGACTAAATGATATGCTTGCATAAAAGATCAGTAATACTTTTAACCAACAATAAAAGGGGCGAAATGGATTCCCCAAATAATATCTGTGACAAAATTGGCACATATGTAGAAACAGCTGACTATACACGGTTGGTTGCTTTGTTTTCTACTTCAAGGACCCTATTTTCCCTGTTGGGTCTCCTACTTCAAGTATTCAGTTGCAGACTTCAGGTCAGGGCCTGGGTGGTAAAAGGCCATGAGGACTTCCTCTTTGAGGACACCCATACCACACATGGGGACGGGTCTGTGGCTTGGGTTTTCAGCGAAACACTGCCAAAATGTAGTAAATAAACTTGCAAAGAACTCTGCTCGCTCCTCCGACAAATACCTAGATCCCTTTGATAGTTAAAGACAGACTTTGGAAAAATGAATGTATTTGGATCATTTATGCAACACGTAAGCTTTACATAGTTCGCTACTTACTGACAACAAGAACAAAGCCAGAAGCAAGAAACCCACTGGAACGTCTGACTCCTGATGCACCGAGAATTAACGGTGCAGCTCAGAGGCAGCTTCCCTTCATCAGCAAATAAGGGGTTTGTCTTGTAAATATCTCTATGGCTCACAAGAGAGGTCCAGAGTTAATTGCACCAACATTTCAAAAAGTAGTAATAACGACTAGATTCAATGCAAGACTTCAGGAACTTCTGCTTAGAATCCTTTCCACAGCAGCAAAGAAAGACAACTATATTTATTAAGGCCACTCATGCTTAAATTCACTGTTTGTCCTTTAAAAATGCAGGTTTTTATCTCCCACTTGCATACACATGGAAGGGTTTCTTCCACTGATAAGAAAATGGGTCAATACAAGAGTGCACATGTTTGCCAGACTCAGTCATGAGTTTTCATGAAGTTATAATGATTTTAATTATTTTTAATCTTCAGAGGAAGCAGCAGGAGTTTAATTCTCCTTAGTACCATGTCACTGTATGTGAAAGACCTGGAAAATGGTCTCTTTCCCTGGCATGTGCTTTAAATAATGACTCTGTATCCACAGACAGGTTGTGTAGAGCTATTTACAGATACACGGCTTTGTGACTGTTCTTCATTCATCAATGTTTTCGTGTTTGATGCTGAAAATGCTTTGGAATCCATGTTAGAGACATTTCCTTTAAATGAAAAATAAAATGAGAAACAACCCTTCGTTTGCAGAAGACCTACACTCATACTGTTTGCACAGCATTTGGATCTTGGAACATAAATGACTTCCCAGCATCTTTGTGGAGACCTGCATGTACCCAAATGAGAAAAGCCTGAGGCTGGGTCACATCCCAGCCATGGGAGTACCCAGAGCTCGTGGGGTGAATGTGCAGATGCCTCAGGCTTTTATCACTCTTTGGTACGGGAGCAGAACAATAAAATTATGAATGATCAATTTAAATGTGCCATGCATTGTCAGAGACACACACCATGTTCTCATAAGGCGATTTCTTGGCAAGTTATTAGTGGTTTTAAAAATTGATTTCATTTCCAACCTGGCCCAGAGGTAACTACTGGTTATACCATCAAAATGTGGTTCTTCGAACAGCAGATCAAAGAAATAGAGGAGGGTAAAGGCTCACAATTTTTGGTGTTTTGGTATCTATGTCAAACAATTCATACATCGTGGCATAGGAACACCACCAGCACCACTCACAGCAAACTGCGACCATTTGATAATCTAATGCATTAGGAATGACCACGTGGCCTGAGAGGTGGAATGATCCCAGATGAATCTAGTTGTCCAACAGAAGCTGAATCCACAGTCTGAATCCCGTAGAGTATAATGTATCCAAGGAGGTTAAGTAACAGAAATGAAACTCATCACATCATGGCACCCCAAAGAGAGGGTCATCTTTAAATGCCTCAAATCCCAACAGAAAATGAAGGAGCTGATTTTCTCCCCCTTCATAGTCTTCCTTCCCATTACATCCAAATCCAGGAGAAAAGAGGACGGGAACACCAAGTTGAGCAGGATCACACAGGGACATGAAAGAGCAAATTCCTCTTCGATGCCAACGTGCGGCTCCTGGTGGCGGTGGACAGTGAGGAGAGGCGTGCTGCAATAGATTAGCAGAGTATCGGCGCAGAGCTGTGCTTTCCTTTCCGTCAGCCCTTCTGACAGCTGCAAGGAGAAAGTACAGGATTCAGCAAGGACAGACACTGGTGGGACTCCCCCAGATCACGCTGGCAGAGGCTCCCCTACCCACTCCCTGCCCCGGCCTGCCATTCTCTTTGGTTGGGGATGCATGGGAATCAAAAAGCAGCAATGGGACGGGAACGGAGAGAAAGTGCAAACGGAACAGAAAGTTGAAGGATGTCCCGCAAAAGTATGGAGCAGAGTCCCTTTTCAAACTGTGTCCCCTACGTGTGCATGCAGCTCGTGATACACATAAAACCACAGAAGGGAAAAAAAGTCAGACTCTCTCAGTTATTATTTTGACACGGTAGAGTTATGTACCAATTTCATTCTCTCCACATTTTTCTATAATGACCAGGACTTTCATTTTTAAAATTTGACTCAGAGATTAGAACGTTAAGAATAGTCAAGATACCAAAAGCTTTAACATTCACTTAAAAACCATGTAACGGCAACAATTTCAAAGACTTATAAATCATGTAAGTGCGATGATTTAATGATTATTGTAGCTGGTGATTCCACTCCTACCTGGGAATACACAAATTAACTGAAAAATGGGATTGAAAGTATTATTCACAGTAACCCAAAATGTCTGTCAACAAATGAGGGGCTCAACAAAATGTGTATACTATACATAGAGCACCATCGCTGCACAGGTGACCTTCTCTGTTTATACCCCACGCTGCATTGTCATTCAATGGCCCCTGGAGTGCCTGGGAGTTTCCAACATATGGAAATAGTGTGACTATCTTAAGACTATGGCAGGGAGGAGACAATGAAAACACACACACGCACACACACAGAGTTTTGTTTTGTTTTGTCTTGTTTGAGACAGGATCTCATTATGGAGCCCAGGCTGGTTTTGAACTCATGATCCTCTTGTCTTAGTCTTCCACATGCTGGGAATGCAAGTGTACCCCATCATGTTTTGCTTTACACACTACTTTTCATACCTAGCCTGAGATGTCTGATTCAGAGGTCAATTCACAGCAGTTCACAGGACCTGCTGGCTGACCGGAATGCAAAAGAACCCAGCATATGCCCAGGTACATGGCTACTTCAAGGCATCTTTGTGTTGTCTGTGAAGTATGGGGCTTGGATGAACTCAGCTAATTCATACTCTGAGGAGTTTGGTGTAACTCTTATAGTTAATAGACTTGAATCAGGGCAAAAAATGGCTTTTGCAGAGCCAGAAAGTTAGGGAGTTTCTAAGGCAGCTCGTGTTACTCTCTCTGGCACATAAAATCACTGCAAACTTTGTATGAAAATTGTAAGTCCGAGCACGCTTTCCGTTTCATGAGCTGTGCATAGCTCTCATTCTTTTGTGCACTAAGCATTTCTTAATCATCCTTTTAAAGGGCTGACCAATACACTAAAAGGCCACATGATTAAAAGGTAAAGAGAAACCCAAAGTAGTATTAAAATGCATAGGTCATTTTTTTTTTTACAGATGGGGAAGTGAGTGAAAATTAATTATGGTGAATGTCCAATGTCCTTGATATTTTTCCAAGATAAAGTAGCAAAGCACAATCATTTATTCAGTTGCAAGAAAAGTTTCCAGCTGGGTAACAGGTCACAGAGCAGAACACGGTGTCTCCCAGCTGCAGTGCACTGCTTCCACTAAAGCTTACGCCATAGACAAGAGAATGTGCGAGAAATCGTTGACGGTTTAAACACTGTTTTTAAAACACCACTCAGAAAAAGATGCAAATAAAACAAGGCGAACTAGTAGCCTACCTGGTGCATTTTTAGGAAAGATCAGTTCAGGACCCTTATCTGGGCCACACCTTTCTGGTCTTGTGATGCTTCTTCATTCTTTCCGTTGTAAAGACAAACAACAGAATAACCACTATGATGTGTATAAAGCCATGAAAATATCTTAACAGTCTGCAAGTATATTTCACAAATAAAATGAATTTTACTTTTTCCTCCTAAAACAAAATAAGCCATTCACCAAGAGGCCCAAGTGGGTTTGAAGAAGAAAGCAATATCAAAACCAAAAATACATCCTCAGAGGATACAGCCAGTAGTTACAAATGCAGATGATCACTCCGTGATGGGCAGGTAAGAATATGCTTTACAAAACCTACAAATGGGATCCAAGTGTCCAGCAATGAGGTGATCTGGGGCTCCAGCACCATGAGGTCATCCCAGCGGCTGAGCCTAACCTCTCCAGCATCCTCTTGTAGGACCCAGCTCTGCCTCCTGAGGTAGCCAACAGTTCTTCTGCAATGGCGATGCCCAGTCCATTGCACACCTTTCTTTATATTTTGCCACCCTTGTTCACAGCCTGTTTCCAATCCTGTGGCCCTCATGATGGAGCAAGACCCAGGTCTCCTGGCCGGGCTGCCAAGTCTCATCTAGTCTCCGTCTGTCCGGATGCTTTCCCCTCTCCTCATACTGCGGCCTCCCCATAACTGCAGAATTCTTTTCTCCTCTTCTCCCAAATGTCTTTCTATCCACATGCCCTCAGGTCACTTCTCCAGCAGATCCATCCCTCTATATTCCTCAGTCTCAGCTTAGATGTTGTGTCATCCAGGACATCTCCCTTGAAGTACATAGTCCCCTTCTGGTGAACAGTCTAGACTTGCCCTACTCAGTATGGTAGCTGCTGACCACATGTGGCCACTGAGCACTCAAAACATATCTAATCCAAATTGAGATGTGCTTAAAGTGTGAAATTCATACCAGATTTTGAAGCTTAAATATGGAAAAAAGAATGCAAACTATCTCAGAAACAAGTTTTAATACTGACATCATGTCAAAATTCTTTAGACATATTGTATCCAATAAAATATATTACCCTTAATTCTCCTTGTATTTTAATCACATTTTAAAATGTGGCTACTAGAGAACTCAACATTACAGGATATGGCTTGCAATTATTTTTCCACTGAATACCTAGGATGCAGATGTCAACTTGGTGAGGGTAAGAGAAGGCTGGTCTTGCTCACTTAGCAACCCCTGTGTCTTATACGGTTTCTGGAACGTGGTACTTTCCTCATTCACTCTGAAGATATTAGAGAGTAACTGAAGTACAAAGAAGACGGAAATGGACTCCTCACTGTCCCCACAAGATTTCCGCCCTAACGGCAAGAATGAACTAAGCAGACCATGATTATACGAACTTACAGAGGTAATCAAAGCTACTAACCAGGTGGTTTTAAATTAATCTAAGAGAAGGTCACCCAAGTGGATTCAGTTTAATGACAGGAAGCCTTCAGTAGCAGAGATTTTCCTCCCATTGTTGCAAAAGAGAAAGTGGGTGAAATGTCAAACACTTGGAGGGCCTCACTGGGCTGAGATAACAAAGTCACAGGGGTGAGGAACTGAAATTTTCCTTTAGAAGATGAGGGTGACTCCAGAGCTAATAGCCAGCAAATGATAGGAACCTCCATCCAACAACCACAAGCAAGTGAAATCTGCCGGCAACCTGAATGAGCTTGGAGCTGGGTGCTTCCAGAGCCCTCCCGTTCGAGTCCTGCGAAGTCTACCAGGACTTTGGTTCCATGAGGCCCTAAACAGAACCCAGCAGTGGTCGCCATCTGAACATCTGACCCATCATGGTACTGTGGGGTAATGGTGGGTGCTGTTTGTAAGATGCTAAGTTGGTTTTGTAGCAACAGGAAACTAACATGGTGTATCACTGGGCTACACAATGTGCCTGATGCTGGTCACATTACAGTAAAAAGAAAGACAAGGCCCACTACTTCTAGAGGAGATGGACAACCACAAATAACCAACACATGCGGGAGGACTGAAATCTGGGTGCCCAGAAGGAAATAAATATCTGTGATAAGGAAGCATGCATTTTCTTAAATGACTATTGTCAACCATGCTGAAGATATGTTTCTTGAATGGGGAAAAATGTTCCAAAGTTCCTGATGGAGGAAAAATCAAAGCAGAATGACATTTTATGTTATAATTTGATCTCATTTTCTGCATTCAATCACAAGTAAGTGCAAACATTTTGCAAGTATATGTATACCTCAGAATATTATTAATATTTATCTTGGAAAGTATTTAAAAATTTTTCTCCATCAGAAAATTTTTTTGGCACTTTTTAGATATTTCACACCAAATAATGTGGACCTATTGTCATATCAGAATAGAGAGCTAGTTCCTTTAAGGGAAGCAAAGTCCCTATTGGGTGGAACAGTAGCCCTTCACTTGGCTCTGGGTGGGGACCAGTCCATCACAGCAGGGAGATTCCAGCCCAGGACAGGAACCCCCAGGGGAGCAGGCTATAAATGTGTGTTGTCTCACAAATATGCCTTCAGACTGTTTTTCTTTGGAATAAAGACACCTGCCTGGTTATAGCTTTCTTCTCCTGCCCTTTCAGTAGTGATTTGCAGAAACAGGCTGGGAGAAAAGGGTCTTTGGTAAACACAGAGGGGTTAAAGGGGAAACTGTTTAATAACAGTAGTAAAATGCAGGCTATTTTTGACATCTGGGTTAATGTCCACTCCATTCCATGTGCTTCCCAAATGTGTGCAGTGTGCCCCCAGGTACAACACAGACACCCATTCACAACGGCCACGGATGTCCCTAACGTATTGCACATGGTACCCACATAAAAGGCCAGCCCTAGATAGACTAATTAACCATGTGGAAGAGAGGGTTCCTTCAGGACTGCCAGCATCCCGCAGAACAGCTTCTCTGAGCGACTGTGCACAGGAAAACCCAGTGCAGTCATTTCTGCTTCAAAAAAGAGAGAAAAAAATTCACAACTACATCTGTGTTCTTACTTAACATCTTTTAAAATGGGGCGGAATGGGTTTCCGTTTTCCTCATGGAGATTTATTTATTATTGTTGTGATCAAAGTGCCAACAAATTATGTTAAATCATTTAATTTTCTTGATAGGAGCAACCACCTTGAAGCCATAATTCAAAAATATGAGTGGAGAGCAGAGTTCTACCTCGAGAGTGGCCTCCTACAGTTCCACAGGGCAATAAAATGTAACACTTCGGAGCCCGAAGCGGG